ATGAAAAATCGCACACCTAGTGTAATCAAGCATAAAAAACCACCTTCACGTCAAAAATGGGTACTAAATACGAAAAACTACAAGAAATCCTCCTGGGGCTAGTCAGTTACAAATCCGAAGCTTGAAAAATTTTCGTATCCCATTTGCAATTGAACGTTAGGCAGATGCAGAATTCTAGAAAGCGCCTAACGACCAGTAGAGACTTCGACCAGTATCATGTTCGTACCCTCACGAATCCTTTTATTAAATAAGATCTGGACATAGTATTCGCCTCGGTTTGCGTACAAAAAAATGGGTTAAAAGATGATCGGAGAAGGAAAACCCAAGTTTTGGAAAGAGAGCATGAAGCATGTAGTGTCGCATTCGTGAGGAGAGGAAACCCGTTGAACACAGACCACTTTCAGGTACATTTTCAAGACTTTGAATTCGCAGATAGGAAAGTTACCATATCGCAGTTATACCGGTGGTCTGTGATTAGTATGGTCGATTTAGCTGAGTAGCTGTGCCTTTCAGTAAAACTATTTCTAATCCCCACCGTGTTACTGATACCAACGGGAACAGGACAACAGTAAACCGATGCTGGAGTACATACGGTAATGCAATAGTTACATTCGCGGATTCCAGAATACCAACAATAAGGGCTCAAAGTAATAGTACGTACTGCATGAAAGTCAAGGTGGCCTAGGCACAAACTCGGTGAGCTATTAACGGACACTAGCGCCTGCTACATCTGTCAAAATCTGGATTAAAATCCTCCAACCGAAAGTGCCACTTATTACATTTACTAAATGGAAGTCGGAATATGCAAATGAATGCCAGAACTGACATTTATGACCCCTCCTCAAAGAAGATTAGAGCCTTTTACTAAATCATTTTTACTGCTTTTCCTTAGATTCAGCTAAATCAGTCTCAAACGTTTCATAAATTACTTCAAAAACAAACTAATTGACTTTGAAGATGAGAACATAACATAATGGTGAAGTGGTTTAAAAAGGTAAACGGAAGTTAACCCAACAAAAACTTTATACTCACCACCAGAAGCATCCCAAAATCTTACTGATCCATCTGCGTGCCTAAAAACAACATCAAAATGATGTATTTAATGCAACATGACATTGCCCTTGATTGTATAATTAACAGTGGCGCCTGTTCTGCTATCAATGTGCCAGACTCTGCTACCGTGACGACGAATAATGCTTGCTTCGTTTGATTTGCACTTCCAGGTGCTTAGCTTAAGGGCTTGTCCATTTAAAGATCTTCAAAGAAGTTAAATAGATTAATGAGTCCAAAACTACCCCAACTGAGCGGTTATCTCTTAAGAAACACATTAGTTACGCAGAACTTAGCAAATAACTACTACAACACACAAAAGGTCGGCAGCGTTTTATGCGATGCGAATTAACTCTTATAAGGCGGCGTTTTATACCCGAATCTGAAGTTCCTTACATCTACGTTTTTCGAGAATGAGACAAAATCGCAATCGATATGACTTGGATAATCCAGTAACCGCACATTATGAGCACGTGACGCTGTTGATGAGCGCACTAATAACTCACCTCATTGTTAGACCACTCACCCAGTTATGATGAGCTCCTGATAAGAGCACAAATTAGTGCCCCACTCTCCGCCATCGATGGGCCATCTTTTAGGGGAGAAAAAATCCGTGGTTGCCAAAGCTGGCCGCCCTTCAGCAGCGCCTTCCTGAATTGTTGATTTTGATGTTTCAAGAGCCCGTTTGCTATGACTGCCGACAGCGTAGAAAGCCGGCACAAGGTCAGATGGACAGTCGACAACGTAATAACACGATGTCACTGGTGAAACGGCAATATCCATGGGGTAGGGATTCTCAAAACTTGGGCACCTGATTTAAGTATCAAATAAATAAGGCATTTTGACTCAAAATCGACACCTTTTAGCCTGAAGACAAAAGCTTGCAGACAGGATTACCTTTTAGTCCGAAATAGGCAGTGAAACAGTTCGAGCTATTCAGCATGATTTATTAACAGACTTCGCAAATGTCTAAGCAGTCTAGGTAGTTTACCGAAATTCATCAGACACCGATCTTTTTAGCGTTGATGTTCAAGCGGACCGTAGTTTTGTAATTATTGCCAGTTTACGAAACTATTTCGAGTGGAACTCCATATTTCAGACAAATAGATGAATGAAAAGGCATCAAAATGATCCAAAAACCTACCCTGGTGTCAAAATATCCACAAGAACAAGATCCTTTTGAAGCAGGACAGCTACTGCATAGGGATCACAAGTTTCTGAAATGATCAAAACTTAGGGCATTAATCAAGGGTATTTTAAGGACAATTCGCAATACCATCATGTCAAATTGAAGATGTGAAAAATTCAGCAATGCTTAACGAACTGGAAATCCTTACGGTATTTGCATTCCTTCAAAAAAAACACGGAAGGGCTTAACCATTAATAAAAGAAATTTGGTCTCTTTTCAATTTTGTACTATTGGGAGTAAACTAGTCATTATGTTTGGAAAGCACCTAGAAGCTAGAATGAAGAATAATGAATACAAAGATCGCATTGCAAATGACAACTTTGATCACCTTCCCTGACCTTGATCAGGTTCATTTGATTAGCTGACGTTCAGTTTAAAAAGACGCATTATGTATTCATAATAATAATGTGGTCCAAAACAACATGATGAATATTCAACGTATGTGCAAGCGAATCTGTCTTAGATATACGGCACCATTAAGTTACTTCTCAGTGTCAACTCCAAAAAACAGGAAACCTTTCTTTTAGGAATAATCGGACAAATTAAGGTGGGCAGGAAAGTTACCAAGTGAAAAGCTCACTGCATAGTAAAAGGCGTCATCGGAAATGACTTTTAAAAAGTCAATGACTAGCGAAAGGACATTTATAATTAGCATATCTTCTGCTAATTTTGAGGTGACTTAGACAAGATTATTGAAGCCAGATTTGAGCTTTGAGATTAACTAGTCGCAGCATCAGAAATTCCGCATAGATTGGGATTATTATAAGATGGGTAGCTCCAATCAATCGGTGCAGCTTAAGGCAACAATAGTAAAACCGGTGCAGGCTTATTTTACCAGAAAAGATTTGATCAATTTCAGTCTAGTAGATGAGTTAAACATTGACCGGAAAGTTGTAAAGTAAACAAGCCCATGTTCAGTAGCGTATTTTTGAAAACAGAGCTTAACAATCGCAGGGTTAGCAATAAAAGTATCCAAAAACATGTAACTGTTAGGGCCCTGAACCACCGTCCTCCAACAATTTAAGCTAGGATATAGAATGGCACTTTTGGATTTAAGAAGTTCATATATCAGAAAGCCAAAAGTTAAAACAGGTTCATGCTTGCATTAATCCAACCAAAAGCTTACGAAAACCTTTAGAAGACATGGGTCAGCAAGAAAAATTACCCACCAGCATATTTGGAATGTATGCTTCGAACAGCCAAAAAAAACAAAAAAAAAATTTTCAAGGCAGACTGAAAGGTGGAAGGTACTAATTAGCTTTTCCAAGTGTTGAAGCCAAAAG